TCAGGCTTATGACAAACTATCAAACCAACATTTTCTATTGATTTGATGACCACCGCAAAGCAAAAAAGTAGATAACTTGGTCCATATTTTTTTTTTAATTTTCATGAAAGTCAATAACTTTCGGCACTAAAAAATGCGGTTTATGTCGGTTTACATAGAAATACATGTTACTCGATTATAGTCCTTTGATCTTTTAATTTTTATGTGCTGTGTAATTCATTATTTTTAAGGTAAAGTTTATGTTTTTAATTAAAAATAGGACCCTTTATAGTATTGTCAGATGCTACAATAGTTTGGTAAAATACATAATATATTATGTCCAAATTATACTTTATTTGGTTTGATTTGTGGTTTAAATAAAGGTGTGGCCCCTTGTTATGATTCCCAATTTGTAGTCAGCCATGGCTGATGCAATCAGTAAATCGAGATGGCGAGGAAGAAGACGAAAAAAGTCCCTTAAAAGTTTGACAACAGCGTAGAAAATACATCATAAAATAAAACGGCAGTCAATCGGGATTTATATGGCGAAAGATCGTAGTCCAAAAAGTTTTTATGCTTCGAAATATAAAAACTGCTGCCAGTGATGGCTCTGTTGGCAATGAGCTACGGTGCTCGACCAATTGGAAAATGCATTAAGAACCACTATATTTACTTTATTACAAGTTTTACTACTTTTTTTTGTACGAAATAGGTCATCTTTTAATCTTTTTAATTGCAGAAATCCATAATTTACTTACCAAAATCTACCAGAGTATAATTACCGAATTTCAAATAGAAAAGATTTTAATTATTATTTTAATACTGAAACTGTTCTCCTAATTCCTCAACAAAAAAATGTATCTAACCATTTATAAAGCATGTTAACTTTGCCTTTACATTTGGGCATTATCTCTGTACGATTTTGATAATTGCTTGTTATATAGCAAGTTGGTTGGGTCAAGTGGGCCAGCTTCGAATTTCTAGAGCTTGTATATCGTATATAAACACGAAAACAATACCGAGAAATGGACAAGAGATATTCGCATTAGTTTGCGAGCTCGTGCATGTTAAATATCATCACGTTTGAGATTGTATGGGTGTGTGTGTGTTGTGTTTGATGTTAAGCAATTTTGACCGCGGGTATTCCAACAATTTCGTCCCGCAACAAGACTCATTACGAATCTGCATGGGTACGGTCGGTCCGGCCCTCTTTCTCGTAATATTGATTTTTACAAATTTAATGACGTCAAACCGAAACAAATAAACTGAAATGCATTTGTTCAAAGCGTTATGAAGGGTGTTCCAACGAAAACGTTTTAACGGATGAATGTTGACAAAATTTCTTGGACACGTCAATTTTTATTTATAGGGGGACGAATTTTAATAAACGCTTCACGCCTCCGCCCGCACCAATATGCGCTCCACCCTACCCGCCCCCAAAATCTTACGTTGCACGGGTGGTTAAGTGACATATCGTTTTAAACGTACTTAATAAGATTCTGTAATTTAAAAAAAAATCTTTTATTAAGATTTCGAAAAATTGCTATTTACATTTTCAAATTAGGTAAATTAAGAGAAAAACAAAACAACTGGGTGAATATATTGAGATGTCCTCCAAGTGAAAATGATTGTTTTTTATTTTTGGTTGTTTCACTGTCTAGAATGGGGTTTTTGGGAAGCCACCAGGTCTAGTAATAACATAACATAACTGGTTCTGCACTAATGCAAGAATTTTAAGAAATCATACATTTTGAATATTAGAGCTTCACGGAGGTTAGGATTTCGTATGTTTTTTTTAAAACATCCCTTTGTATATTTGAAATAAGTTATTGTATCGTTTGACACCTTCATATTTTTAAAAAATACAATTGTACATACATAAAATATTTATTAAAAAAATCTACTTACTGAGATATTACACTTCACGGTGAATAGATTTTTAAATAACAAATTAATGAACTTAAACTTTTGAATTATAAAACAGCAACACTCTCGTCTGCATATAAATTCTAACTGACCTTCAGGAATCACATTCATCTATAATGTCGTGAACAGAGGTTTTTGCTTATTTAAAATGATTAAAGCGCCATCCGTTGCATAAAATTTAAAGCAAAAACAGATTCACGGAGGATACAATCAATTTTTATAACATCTACATAGATGGTTATAAAAATTATATTGTTTAATTTTAAATAATATTTTATATTTGATTCGATTGCTTTGGATGTGTTTAATTTACTTAGTGAACTGATATTTTTAGTATGCTTTTACTACCTCAGATATTTGAAAACATATAGGTTAACCTAGAAAAAGTAACATTCCCGGAGGGTAGGTTTTAGACTTTTAAAACATTGTTAAAAATAATTAATTGCGTTTAAAAATCTGGAACCTGAGCTGTGATATCTACTTAATTATGAAAGATCAAAACACAATAAAAGTGTAGGTCAAACTCATTTAGTTTTATTAATTATCACGGGGTGACACCATTGGGGGACATTTTGTGAGATTCACCCAACTGTAAATCAACGAATGTACCTATCGCTCAAAGTGATTTCTTCCAACTTTCAAGCAATAGTACAGACGTTGTTCAAAATTGCAACTGTCAAAATGACAGGTGCCTAAATTATCAAAATGATAGGTGCCAATATGACAGCTGTCAAAATGACAGTTGTCTATTTTTTTTTCTTAGAACCAAACGAGCGGGTTTACAGCTAGTGTCACCAAATTTGTTTCTTAAAAATGTGTTGAATCCATCAAAAACTTTTCGAAAAGGAAATTGGGCTTTCCCTTTAATTAGTAAGAAGCAGTTTAACATACTAAATGGTAACAAAAACTGTCAACATTTGAGTCAAAATGTTTGACAAATACCTAACCTCATTCGCAAATTATAAAAAAAATTCGTTCAGCAAGGTGGGACTAAATGAGAAGGATAGTACCTAAATAAAAAGTTTATATCTTTTTAAAATTTGTGGGTTGACTTCCCAGACTTCTACAGCGAGGGTTTGCAAACGACAGTTTATAAAAACTATTAATTTGAAATATAGGTTTCAAGCCAGGATTGTTGTAGAAAAACATAGAGCAAAGTGAGGAAATTTTGCTTTAAGATTATTTATAGCAAATCACAATACTTAATTAATATTAATAATAGTTTTGCATTCATGTAGGTGCACAAAACAACTTAAATGCGATGTAAAAATCTGCAGTAAACTATGTATATATATATATACATATGTATATGTATACATATGCATATGTATATGTATGTATATGTATATATATATATATATTAGGGTGTCCCAAAAAAAAAAGAATATTTTTTTTCTTCTCGTCTCTTGTGAAAATATGTTGGTTTGTCATGTTTTAAGAGCCCTGTCAAAAGATCAGCACCATTAAAAAATTTTTAGGGATCGCTCAAGATTTTTAAAAATTACCAAAATCGTCAAAAATTGGATTTTTTTTATTTTAATTTTTTTTCTCTTTCCGATATTATTTTTTAATTTAAAAATAATAATGATTCTGAAAATTTCAAATCGATATTTTAATTTCTAAAGGTCGCTCCAGATTTTTTTAACTTTCAAAGTAGAGTATTTTGAATGTTTTCGAGCGACCTCTGAATATAAATATAAACGAATTTTAGCGACCTTTAGAAATCAAAATATTGATTTGAAATTTACAGAATTTTTATTATTTTCAACCTAAAAAAATAATATCGAGATGAGAAAAAGAATTAAAATAAAACAAAAATTCAATTTTTGACCATTTTGAAAATTTTTAAAAATCTTGAGCGACCCCTACAAAATTTTTAATCGAGCTGATATTTTGAAAGGGCTCACACAGCATGATAAACTAACAAATTTTTACAAGAGACAAGAAAAAAGAATATATTCTTTTTTTTTTGGGACACCCTAATATATATATATATATATATATATATATATATATTTATATGGGTGAATCTCACGAAATGTCCCCCGATGGTGTTACCCCGTGATATTTAATAAAACTAAATGAGTTTGACCTACACTTTTATTGTGTTTTGATCTTTTATAATTAAGTAGATATAACAGCTCAGGTTCCAGATTTTCAACCGCAATTAATTATTTTTTACAATTTAAAAGTCTAAAACCTATCCTCCGTGACTATTACTCTTTCTAGGTTAACCTATATGTTTTCAAATATCTGAGGTAGTAAAAGCATACTAAAAATATCAGTTCACTAATTAAATTAAACACTTCCAAAGCATTTGAATCAAATATAAAATATTATTAAAAATTAAAAGAAATAATTTTTTATACTATTTATGTAGGTGTTACAAAAATTGATTATATTCTCCGTAAATCTGTTTTTGCTTTAAATTTTATGCAACGGATGGCGCTTTAATCATTTTAAATAAGCAAAAACCTCTGTTTACGACATTATAGATGCATGTGATTCCTGAAGGTCAGTTAGAATTTATATGCAGATGAGAATGTTGCTGTTTTATAATTCAAAAGTTAAAGTTCATTAATTAATTTTTTTTATAAATATTTTATGTATGTACAATTATATTTTCAAAAGATACAATAACTTATTTCAAATATACAAAGGGATGTTTAAAAAAACATACGAAATCCTAACCTCCGTGAAATTCTTGAATTAGTGCTGAACCACTTATGCATTGGCGTAACTAGCCATCTGACCCGGGGGGGCCTAGGGTGGGCCTGTTATTGTGACTAATGTCTCCAAAAGGCACAAATAACAATTTTTGAACAAACAGTTCTAGTGAGAAAGGGAGTAAGTACTACAATGTGATCTTGAGGACGTGTTCAAATATAATTTATGACCGTTTGTACCGCGCATGACCGTTTGTTGTTATGAAAAGATACAATTGCTAGCAAGATACATACACCTTAAGTGTATGTGCGCATGTTGGGCGGGGCTTAAATACGTCACTTGTTCTGTTTGTTTATAATTGTTTTTGTGTTGTGTTAACTTGTTTTGTTTGTGTTTTAGTTTGTGTCGTGCTATTTGCATTTATTAAAATGCGGTTTGGCATATTTGTATGCAATTCGGACAACCAGTCCAAGAAAAACCCTTTAAATAAAAACATTAAATTTCATCGATTTCCGGAAAACTTTGATTTATGCAAACAGTGGTTAAATGCCATAAAAAGAATAGACAATATTAACGTTAAGACCACTTCTGTTTCCTCTAAACATTTTCTGGACAGTGACTATAAGTTTAATTTAAAAGGACTGAAAGAATCTATTATAATAGATATATGGATATATCCATATTATAACACTTTCTTTAATATTAAGTTTAATAAAAACGCACTATGTCCAGATATTTCTCTATTTTCTTTGATAATATTACTATTATTCGTGTATTCGCACGGCAACTACTCTTTAAGTGACGTCATGCGCGGCACGAACCAAAACTCGTCCACGGGAGCATCAAGCCCTGATTGCTAGTTGCGAGCTTGCAGGGGCGGTTTTAAAATAGGTACCTACTCGTAAGTTGATAAAATACAACCCAAGATATGTAAATGATACATTCATATTTCTATTGCAAATTTGGTAATAACAAAATATTGTAACAGATAAAAGTCAGCCTTTTCCTGAGGGGGGGCAGCGATGTCTGGGGGGGGCCTGGCCCCCCTAGGCCCCTCTGTAGTTACGCCAATGCACTTATGTTATGTTATTACTAGACCTGGTGGCTTCCCAAAAACCCCATTCTAGACTAACAGTGAAACAACCAAAAATAAAAAATAATCATTTTCACTTGGGGACATCAACAAATATATAAAACACTGTAAAGTCAAACTTTTTGCCGATGATAGAAGGAACAAATAGGTATTAAGGAAATTTGTGATAAAATAAACTGTGATCTAGATAATATTTTTAATAGGCTTTGAGATAATTATCTAATTGTGAATAAAAGTAAATGTAAATACATGTTTTTATGTAGGAAGTAAATATAATTTATCAAAAGTTATTGATATATATATAAAAATTAAATTTGATATTTTGGAAAGAGTAAACAAAATTAAATACATAGGCATAATAATTGATAAAAACCTAAATTTCTATATATATGTCATATGTATACAGGGTGGCCGATTTATCTGAAGACATTGAAATATTTCTAAAACTATGCATCGGATCAAAAAAAGTTTTGAATAAAATTTGTTTGCCTGGAAGGGGGACATCCAATGATACCAAAGTCGACCCCTCACCACCACCCCATGGGGTGGGGGTGGGGGCAACTTTAATATTCTAAATAGGAACCCCCATTTTTTATTGCAGATTCGGATTTACTATTAAAAAATAAGTAACTTTTATGGAAAAACTTTTTTTTAAATTCCTGATAGATGGCGCTGTAATCGCGATTTTTTGGGAATATCTTGAAAAATTGCAGATTCGGATTTCCCATTAAAAAATATAATTAGTGTATACGAGAATTGTAAGGGAATTCAAAATAAATTAAATTAATTAATTCCTTTTGATGTTCCCATGTTCCCATGGCCATGGGGTGGGGGTGGGTGCAACTTTAATATTCTAAATAGGAACCCCCATTTTTTATTGCAGATTCGGATTTACTATTAAAAAATAAGTAACTTTTATGGAAAAACTTTTTTTAAATTCCTGATAGATGGCGCTGTAATCGCAATTTTTGGGAATATCTTGAAAAATTGCAGATTCGGATTTCCCATTCTTGGGTAATTTTAAAAATAGATGTTAACTTATTGATATACGAATAAAATCCAAAAATTAAACAAGTTTTTCTTTTTTTCGATCCGATGTGTAATTTTTTAAGATATTCCCAAAAATCGGGTTTCTTGCGATTACAGCGCCATCTATCAGGAATTTAAAAAAGTTTTTCCATAAAAGTTACTTATTTTTTAATAGTAAATCCGAATCTGCAATAAAAAATGGGGGTTCCTATTTAGAATATTAAAGTTGCCCCCACCCCCACCCCATGGGGTGGTGGTGAGGGGTCGACTTTGGTATCATTGGATGTCCCCCTTCCAGGCGAACAAATTTTATTCAAAACTTTTTTTGATCCGATGCGTAGTTTTCGAAATATTTCAATGTCTTCAGATAAATCGGCCACCCTGTATATTATATGATATATATATATATATATATATATATATTTATATATATATATATATATATATATCATATATATTATATGATCATGCTAATTATATTATAAATAAGATATAAAAAAGAGTATTTCTTAAAAAGAATGAATAGTTTTCTTAATTTTCAAAATCATATGGATCATTATTATATAAAACAATAATTTCACCTCATATTGATTATAATTATTACACAGACCGTGGCTTATTATCACAATAATTATTAATGTATGTAAAAAAACCGTGTAAACAATATTTTTGTAAGAAACTAATAGATTTTGCTATTCTATAGACAATATATTCATATGTACTCGCATATAATCCGGCCTCTGGGAATGTTATAATTAAATATTTTGAATCCCTAAAAAACATTTCAAAACATCATTAAAAACTCGGTCCAATTAATAATTCTCAGTTCCGGTATTGAGTTCGGTGCATAAAACAAACTTATTCGTGGGGACGTCGGTCGGGGAGCGACAAAATTGCTGGGGGCGGCAATTTTCGCATGGGACCTTTCCGAAACGACTTGTCAGACTATATCAGTCAAAGTTATGTAAACGAGTCCATAAACTGCATGGCCACTATGGTTGTCCAAGTCGCCCCAAGCTCCCATATATCTCTACCAACGCTGAGAGTTGCCCGCCGGCTCTGCCGCTCCCCTACCTGACCCTCAAGGATTTGATGATTTGATGCATTTACATTTTACAACAATGTTTTGACAAGATATGGCAATATATTGTAAATATTTTAGTACCCGGAGTCGTTTCTTTAAACACAGCAACATTTCCCATCATTTGCAAACATCCCTGGGTTTATTACTCCTTTACCTCTCCTTTCCCTTTATAAAAGAAATATATTCGTGTTTATAAATTAAATCAAAAAATATAATATACTTTAATATTATTTGGATTTTTGCATCGTTCTAAATATTTTCTACCTACTCCATACCCCGACCAACCAACCGTTGCAACGGTGGGGGACTAGAGAGCCTGGTGGAAGATCTAGGAGCCTCCTAGTAGGAGGTATCATCGACCACTACATCCTAATTCTCCGTCTTGAATACATTGGCTGCGGCTAACTAACATTTAATTCAAATATCAAAGGAGGATTTGGATGGGAAAATTTGAAATGCAATAAATAAAAGAAAAGTATTGAAAGGGAATGGAAATTATTAATATAATAAATATACAAAATGTAGAGTAGCAAGTATTAGCTGAACTTTAAACATGTCAATATTAATACCTAGACAAGCTATTTGGTTAGCTTATTGGAAAATATATAAATGTATTAAATAAATAAATAACTACACGCTAAGTTCATATATAGTTTGTGTATAAGTGTATATATAATAAAGTTAAGTTTGTATATACCTAATCAATCAATTCGCTTAACTACCCGTACACCTAGTCAAAGATAATACACCCCCTAGATTGGAAACTGCACTAGCGCTGGCGGCAAAAGGCTAAAGTAAATTAACGCCATCTAGGTCTACAATACCCTTAGCAATGCCAAAAATTGAAGTAGATTTCTGTAACATATATTGGCGCCATATTTGAATGTTGATGCTTGGAAGGGTGCCTTTATATATTGTATGTAGGACAGTTGTCAGTTGTCAGATTAAGTTGGATTTAAATTCTTATTTTTTGTTCGTCGTAGATAAAGTATAGTATGCAACTCGTTTATAAACTTTTTTAGACACTCGTTTTTATTACACTCGCTCGCAAGCTTTGCTGGGGCCTAATAAAACTCGTGAATAAAATGGAGTTTATAGAACAAGACAGACAACTATTAGGTGAATTTAACTATACTTTTTACCAAAAGCTAATAAATTTATTTTTTTCAATTACAATATTTTTTCTTATTTTATAATTTAACAGGACAGCTTTAAACAGAAAATTTTGTAATTGAGGGGCCTAGAAGTAAAAGGGTTTAAGTGCATTTTTGTTAGTTCTGAGATAAATGGCTTTAAAGTTAACTTAAATTTTAAAATTTTAGAAAAGAGTTTAAAAAACTGTGAATATTTTAATTTTGTTTAAAGACTAAAAAAGATTATAAAGAAAAAGGAATTTTTCAATTTCGCTTTTTTGTTAATTTTTTTTACAAAAATGCACTTGAATCGTCATGCTTGTAAGACAAAATTTAGTAGTAAAATGATTTAAATGCAATTCCTGTACTAGAACAAAACTTTATTTTTTAAAATTTGGGTAACCCAGCAAACACACTAGTCCGGCCATGCAATGGCACATTAATGGGCCATTGCATTATGTAATGCCCCAGTAATGTGCCCTTGCATGGCCGGAATAGTGTGCTGGGAAGTTTTACAACAAAAAATATTATTCATAATCAGAATCTAATACAACGTTTTCTTCATCTCAATTAGCTGGTCTTGGTTGGGGTTGATCTAAATTGGATTTTTTTTTGGCTCAATACTATGGTCTAAGTTTGTTTCTTTTTTTTTGGATAGATCTCTATCGTGCTCTATGTTTTTATAAAATAAGTGGTAAATTGGCGGAATATAGTCCAATAAGGTACCTAAGTAAATTTTTGTGCTTAGCGGCTTTTTTTTAGTTTTTGCTGGAGTTACATGGCCTTCTTCTTCTACTTCTTCATTGATGTCAGGAACATAGTTACTATGTTGAATCCTCATCAATCTGGACCGATGCCATAATCGTAACGCTGGCCGATGTCGTTCCGACCCCGGTCACAATATGTCGAAACGAGCTACTTGTCAAGGCTTTAGCAGCATAGATAATAGCCTTTGTTTAGCAGTAAAAGGTGCACTTAAATCGTTTTACCAAAGATATATTTTAAAATATTTTGACAAGTTTTAAAGAGGATAAGAAATGGCGTCAGGGAATGTAAAATGTACTTATATAATTTTACCACTAAGTTAGAATATTCTGCACTTAGAGCATTTATTTAAAAAAGTGCACTTGAACCGTTTTACTTCCAAGCCCCTCAATTGTAATACAATTTTTTTTTAATTTTAATTACAATATTTTTGTATTTTTGTATTTTATTATTAAAAATGTTACTTAAGGATATCTCACATGTCTTGTTTTTGACATTTTTCTGCAATTATATAACTTTTTTATACTTTTTTGATATATATTTGCATCAGATATAAGTTTCAGAATATGTCTCGAAAAACAAACAATTCTTTCTAATTTACAATGCCATTTCAGAAAAGGTACAATATTTATAATAATAATAATTATAGTTTATAAACAAGTATTTTAAGAAAGTAAAATCCAAAAGATCTACTTTGAAAGAAGCTTTAAACTAATATTCGGTAAAACTCAATAAAAGCTTTCAAGAACCTCAATA